GGGCTTTAGGGGATAAAGGTCTAAGGTTTAGTTTGGACTCAGGGTGAGAGTGTTGAGCGGGGTGTACTGCAGGGGCCTGCATGATCATGCCCTCGTCTGATTATGGTACAGCATTTCCCAGCGCGACTCGAATTGTTTTGTGGGTCCGAATATTGCGGTGTTTTGCTTGCTATTTTGTTTGAAGGGGCTTTGGTTTTAGAGTTTGACTGCTCCTCATGGCTTTCGCATGTGAGGTGTTGGGTCACCTAATATAGGGGCCTTGATATTTAGAATAGGGTTCTGGGGCCCAGTATGCTATACTTATCATGAGGAGCCCCCCAAAATAGTATTGGCAATTACTTAAGCCCCTTTTTTTGGGTTTAAGGCTCCAGGCTTTGGCTTGCGAGTAAGGGACTTCGAGCGACTTTCTGGTTCCAGGTTCTTTTTATGCTCGGACTGTGCTTTGAAATCCCAAGCTTCGAAAAGCTTTCAAGCTGCTGTTGACAGGTTTTAAAGTGGGAACTAACCAGAATGACAGTGGCTGACTGCAAGGACCAAGAGAAGGGGACTCGCATCTACTTCCAAACCCTCAGCCCCGAAGCTCTGCTAAACATCAAAACCCAAAGCCATTCACCACCCTAAATGGCAGGGCCAGGTACCTCGTAGGTAGCCTGCGTCGGGCCGCGAGGCAGAAGAACCGACAGGAACAGCGCGCGAGCGAGTTCCGGGAAGCAGAACTAGAACCCCAAAATCTCCTTCCACAAGCAACCCATAAACCCCTTAAACCCTTAAACATTGGAACCATAAACCCTTAAAGCCTTAAACCTTGGTGGCTTTGAAGAGCCTTCATGCCCGGAAGCCTTGAACCCCAAACCCCTAATTAGTGACGCGCACACCCTGAATCCTAAGCCCTGAACCTTGGGCCAGAAAGCTCAAACGCCTGAGCCAAGAAGCGCAAACCCGCAAATCAACAGAACTCTCGAATCCCCCAAGAACCCTTACTTGCGGTGTTCAAACGGGGATCATTACATACAAGGAACCCCGTCATCCCCCGTCCCCTGCAATGAAAGGACGGCCCGGCGAGGGAGGCCGCATCTGCAGACCTGACGCGAAGCGTGACGGTGCCGCCCCTCACTTTGTTCGTTTCAGGTTCGCTTCAGGTTCCTTCAAGGGCACAAAAGGGTTTCGACAAGGCTCTTCAAGGGTTCAGGTTTTGTTGCTTAGGGTTCAGTGTTGGGGGCTTAGGGCTTCCAGTTTTGGGTTTCAAGTTCTCAGGACTCCGGTTCTTGGGGCATGAGCGGCATGAGCCCCAGATTCCTCTATAAATTCTTGCTCCTGGAAGCCAAGCCCGGAGAGAGCGCCGTGGCCACGAAAATCTCGAGGACACCTCAAACCCTGCAGCCGCACACCTTACACCACGAAGCCCCCGAAACCTTAGCCCTGAACCCTGAAGTTACTTGGGTTTGGGGCTTCGAGCTTCGGGGCGGCCAGCGACTGTCTGTTTCAACCTCAATCAACCCCCATCCCCCCAAGCGCCCAAGCCGTACTCCCCCAAGCATATGCATCGCTTCAGGGCCCTGAAGAAGCTCGAAAAGCCCGGAAACTTCGCACAGGCGCTGCATCTCCACCAGGGTCGCCTCTTTGCGGGCAGCTCCGGCCGCTGTACATGTGCGGGTCTGAGTGTAGCGTAGGCTTCTGAGGGTTGTTGAGGGTTCGGGCCATAAGCCCTGAGTCTTGTCTTTTTTTTTTGTGCTTTTGGTGTAGGGCCTTCAGCACAGGCATTGAAATGGCACATCTTAGGGTGTTTGGATTCAGTGATCTTGGCCTGGAGCCCCTGGCCCACCCTAACCTTGAATCCCAAACCCTTACAGGAACCGGTCACGGGCAGGTCCCCTCATGAGATCTCTGATGCACACTGAAGGCGCAGTGTTTTAAGTAGTTTGTCCTCCTGTGGTTGCTTCCGGACAGTCCGCAATGGATGAATCTATAAACCCTAAACCCCAAGCCCTAAACTTAAGCCCTGAAGCCCTAAACCCTAAAACCCTAAAGCCGAAACCCTAACTACGCCCCTGAACCCTAAACCCTCAACCCTGAGCCCTAACCAAAACCCTCCCAAGAATCCTAGAGCGCGAGACTGGACTCTGGGGGACGGCGAGCTGCAGCGCGAGTTCCATCTTCCAGGCCCTTTCGCCCTCGCTCCGTATGTCGAAGCTTCGGGCTCAGGCTTTTTAGGAATGTCTTTTTCAATGGGTGTTTCCGTCGGGTTTCAGGCTATATATCAGGTTTCAGATTGTATCATCACGACCATTTTCGTCAGACTGAAGGCCCCAGGTCGGCTGAGGGCTTGGGGTGTACGGTTTGAGGTGGCTCTGAGCTTGGATAGGTCATGTATTCGCGTCGCACGTGTTGCCATGAGGCCATGGCTCTTGGGTGCTGGCACCTGCCAGGATATGGTGTTTTTTGGTGTTTTTCTTCATAGAACATGGCCACACCTCGTTGAGGCCCTTTTTCCCAAGCGTTGGTTAACTATACTATAGGGTCTCCTTTCTGTCGTTGCTCAAGATAACATAGGGGGTTTCTGAAAATAGGGGACCCTAATAGAGTACCCTAAACAGTAGGATCCTTTTTATACGGACCCCAAAATACGGTACTCTTAATTTTCGGAAACTCCCATAATATCATCGGGTACCCAGAACCCTGGGACTTGAATCTTGAACTCGAAGCTCGCGATTGAGGGCTTGCGGTTGAGGGGTTAGGTTTTGGAGAGAGTTTTTGGGAGTCCTACAAACCCTAAACCCCAAACCTTAAGCTTGAACCTTATCATACCTATAAATCCTAATCTCTAAGCCGTAAATCCTAAACCCCGCCGCCCTACGAGACCCAACCCTCTAAACCCTGTAAGTCCTAGATCTTAAACCCTTGAAGCTCTCAGGCCCTGTGCCACCGAAGCACGCTGTGCAGGAACTGACGAGCAACCAGCGACGGCCAGCTCGCTGGTGGTGGTCCCGCAGGCTGCGGGAACGCTCGAGATTTGGTGCTTTTGAGAATTGCGTAAGCTCTGGGTTTGGGGTTTAAGCTGTTGCGGGCGGTAGAGTCTGTGGGTTGTGCGTGCTGAGCCCCTTAAAAGTATGCCAAGCAACCCTAAACACACTGAACCCGTAAGACAGCCTGCCTGGGTTCAGAGATCAGGAAGCCTTAAAATCAAAAGTTTCTCCAAGCCAGAAACCTGAAACCCTCAATACCTAACACCCTGCACCCCAAGCTCCTGAAACCTAGCATTCCTAACCCTAAACCCCAAGCCCTAAACGTCCCTGAACCCTGAGCCCTAATCCCAAACCCCCCAAAATCCCAAGCCCTTCCTGACTACACTCAGACAGATAGACAGCTCACCACCCTAAACCCCAAACCAAACCCTTACATGAGAAAGCGAGTGAGTCCTTCAAACCGAACCCCTAGCCCTAAGCTACCGTAGCTTGCAGAATTTATTTTCAATTTGGTTCGTTCACAGGAATCCTTAAGCCCAAACTAAGCCCTCAACCATAAGGCCAAAGTGAGCTCAATGCTACCCCAAAAACCGTGTTCAACTACGAAGGCCATTATGCTCGAATTCTGAAAATGCTCGAGAGCGCCTTTTGCAAAACACTTGAATCACCGATAGAGCCCTTTGTAAGTTCTCATTCCATTTATTAACAAGGTCCCTGTACAAACGTATAGAAAGCCAAGACCCCGATATAGAAATTCTAGTCTGATTCCCACAACAACACACCTGTACGCAAACCTATAACACCCTTTTTCTATTTCTCAAGAGGAGTCAGCACTTCGGCTCTGGGTGGGGCTCGACAACGGCCAGCTGGTCGTCTTTGAGGTTGAGACCGGCTCGAACCCCGGGGGAGTCGTTTTTTTGTTGGCTTTGTTTCTTGGTTTGCCATTGTCGTGCTTTTCAAGCGTTGCTCCAGCCCTCTCTGTTCATGTCTGATATCATTGCGATGTGTATGTATCAGTATATGTATATGTGTATCTGTGTGTGTGTGCGCGTAATTTTGAGATAAACTCCAACCCTGAAAGAACCGCGCAGTTACTTTTGCGCAGTTCCGCGTTCATGAGTCCGCCGTAGATGCGGGATCTAGGGCTGGGTCATTGGCTGAAGCGCTTTGGTTTACCCTTTGGGCCCTGGATCAAAGATGCTGAACCCCAACATTCCAGAATCGCGCAGATGCTAAATTCGAAGCCCCGAACCCCCGAAGCCCTGCCCATCTATCTATCGATTGGCCTATCTGTCTGTCCGTCTGTCTGTCTATCTATCTATCTATCTGCCTTTTTCCCCTATCGACCTGTCTATCAGCCTATCTATCTATCTACCTATCTGTCTACACATAGCATTATGGTTTTAGAGGGGGATCGCCAAAGCAATATGATTATGTAAGCAAGTGCGAAGGGAGGTTACGAGACATGCACGTGCAACAGAAACATGCAAAATATGATTACCCACGCACACACTCACACTCTACAACTCACAGTGCGCATCTCCTAATATACAAGTATGATCCGCTGGAGTAACGCATATTAGAGAAAGCAGTCAGGGATGCTGGTGCGCAGCTTCTCTTGCTGTGGGCCCGAGGTCGGGCAGACATTGGCATGCGATTGCAGGGTATGGTTTCGAGGGGGTTCAAAGTAGGTTTGAGTTGATGTGTTTGCTGTTATGTCGGTGTCTAACACATGCAAATAGATGGCACCATGTAGGAGAACTCGTCCAGGCAAGCAGCTAATCCGTTTCCTCTCACCGTCGCTCGCTTCATGTAGGCTAGCTCTTGCACGGACCGGCCGAATGCACAAACGAAAAAGCTCAACCAGAAGTTCTATGTACCTCAAAAGCACGCAACAACCATGGCGACATGTGCTTCGGCACATCAGTACCTCGCTAAACCTAGGAATCGAGCACTTCAATAGTGCAGTCGGATTCCGTCGGCAGTTTATGTGCATATTTTGCAACTATTTTCTCAAACTTCTCCGGATCCGTGCAGATGGTCTCAGCCTTGGCCTTCTGCGAGAAGACCTCTGCTGTATTCGCCCTCTCCGCGCATAAGCCGGCGCCCTTGGGGAAGTGTAGGTCCTCAGATGTCCGACGTATTGGTCCGGGGCTGGCAGCAATACCTGCTCGAAGACTTGCTACCTTTTTCAGGAAATCCCACACCCCAAGCCCAAGCAACTCAAAATAAACTTTGAGCCGCAAGCGTAAAATCCCTTACACCACCCTAAACCAAATATTCAGGTTTTTCAGCCTTACGTGCATAAACCCGAAGCCGGTTTCGAGGGAAACTTGCTGAAGGCCATCATCGACTGCGAGCATGCACCTCAATAATTACCTATACTATTGTGGTTTTTCCTTATTGTATTTATAGTATAACAGACCCCCAAACCCTATTCTAATTATTGAGGCCCCTATAGCATCCACGGGCGAAGCATCGTAGCAGGCAATTGAAAACAACCTGCCTTCGTTGGCAGCGGACTTCGCCAACTTGCTTTCAGATTTTCTTTTTGTCGGTGAAGCATGGTGGCCGTACGTTTTGATGAAGAGCTCGACGAAGAAGATGAATAAGTTGATTGTGACGAAGAGCAATAGCTTTTGCAAATATTTCCACACAGTTTGTGAAAGCACAAGCGCTTTTAAGTAGTAGGTTAGACTGACCCATGATGACCTATCAGCATTATCCGTCGGTGCCGTGTCCAACACGGTTTCAGCAAACCTGCTGCGATTGCAAGCCTGGGCTGCGGCTCTACACCCCAAGCCCTAGGATTCATCGGCTGTACCAAGGCGCGTGAGCATTTGGGACTCCAAGACTTTTGCCTGCCTGCAGAAGTATCCAGCGGAGCTTATGACGCCGGGGCCCTCGGAATGCAATTACCGTGCACCTTAATACCCCATGAAAAAACCCAGAACTCACTATACTATACCGACGCAGTTCACGGGCTACAAAGACCATTGGCCTGCACGTGCGACAAAACACTCCTCCCTCCCTCTCTCTCTCTATATATGTATGTATTCATTCTTAATTTACTTTCAACTACTCTAATATGCTGTACTGTTCGGCACGCTAATGAAAAAGCCGAAACCCGAAACCTTGAACTCCAAGTGCTAAGCCGCGAGGCGGATGAAGCCCAAGGGGTGCCAACCTGCAACTTAGGGTTGAGGGTTGGCAGTTTAGGCAGGGTTTTGGGTTTAGGGTTCGGGGTTTAGCGTTCAGGGTTTAGGGCTTTCGGGTTCAAGATGAGCGGCGTCTAGTCAATGAGTTCTGGGATGGTGGGTCCCCGCCCACGGAGTATGTGCATCTGTGGTCTCCCGCAGCGGAAATAATGTATCCACGTAGGGGGTCGGAGCATCCTCTGAAGGTTAGTTTCTTGGGGCTTAAGGCCTTGCGCGAGGAAGAAACAAAGAGAGAGAGAGAGAGAGAGAGAGAGAGAGAGAGAGAGAGAGAGAGAGAGAGGGAGAGAGAGAGAGAGAGAGATTCTCAGGCATGTTGGTCTTGAGTTCAGGGCTTAGGTTTCTAGGTTCAGGGTTTACGGGGCCAAACCGTGACGCCAAGCCGTGGCACGCAAAGGCCGCAAACCAGAGCACCGAAGCCGGGTGTGCCCCAGGCGTTGAACTTAATAGAAAACCCTGAGCCCCGAATTCCAATCCCGAGCCAACCTGCATAATTCTTCAACCCAAGACTTATCCCCAACCTCCCTCCCCCCCCCGCCAAAAGCCTTCCACAGAAGGTGTGGCTCCGATCTGAGTGCCATGGGAGCCTTTGATGTGCGCGTTGTGGGAGATCGGTTACTTGAGCTTTGGTGAGGTTAGGGCTTTGGAGCCTGAGCAAGCATGGGGCCGCGGGGCCTGTTTAGGGTTTCCGAGCTTGGGAAGCCAGGTGGGGTGATGGTGGTGATGATGCAGCCGAAACCCTAAACCCTGACTACCGGGTCTGAATGAATCGATTGTAGATGACAGGGTCCAAGAATCCCGAACAGAGGTACCCAAGCTCTCCCTGTCGCTCCTGGTCTTGGCTGCACGCGGCCCAAGTTTTCATCCAGGTCTTCGAGTCTTACAGCTTCTAGAGTTTAGGGTTTCGGGGTTTTGAGTGCTTAGTGTTTAGCGCCTCGAGGTTTTGGAGTCTAGGGCTCTGGAACAGATCACTTCCATGCTGCAGCCTACAGTTCCATGTCCCTAAACCCTGAACAAAGGTCCGGAGGCGGAAAGCAAAACTCAAGAGAGAATCCGTGCGACGGGGCGCGCAAAGACCTTTGCACTCTCTTACTGAAAAGATTATGTCAGAAAGAGGAGTGATCTGGGGAAGCTTGGTATTTGGTAGCAATATGTCTTACAGCCCCGACGATAATCAATCCAAAATCCGAGCCTCAGCAATAAGGCCCGCTATACTAACTAGAGAATGAGGAAGGCTTGACAACACGGTTTTTCTGTAAGAGAACACTTGTCGGACAGGGTTGCCAGGAAAAGGAGCCTCTAAGGGTTATCATGTTCATCCTGTGCAAAAGGGTTGAGCTCAGTCCGAACGGAGCCTGCGAGCTGCGGTGACATGGTCTTTTGGGTATTTCGGTGCTAGTACGTATAGGAACTCATGCCACGGCTGCAAGCTAAGCATGTGAAGAGGCCTTTTCAAAGGAAAAGGAGTCGAGTGCTCGATCGACTTGAAGCTTCCGCCACGTCGCTTGAGACAGTGCTTGTGGCAGGGCGTCGATGGCTCCCTGTGCCTCCGACGCATCACGCGACGGACGGACAGGACTCTTTTGCTTCATGAGGGAAGGGTTTTCTAAGACAAACAAGGAGGAAGGCGGGTTTATTGAGGGTTCATCATCTAAGGTTCTGTGCAAGCGGCTCTTGTGTTTCTGAAACTTGCATGGTGAGACTCCCGACCCTCTAGTCCCTCAAAGATGGCTGCAGTTGAACATGAGAAGGCTTCACAACCCTAAACCCTAAACCCTGAGTTTGCAGATCTCTTGGGCAGAAGGGAAGATGCCAGGAGAGGTTTGAGCCACCCCAAGTTTCACAAACCAAGGGGTTCAAATGAAGTCCGCGATAAGGCCCTTGTTGGAGGCCCAATCGAAGTCGAAGATATACCTGTAAACCCGAAACTCTGAACCCTTAACACAAATTAAAACTCTTAAGCCCCCAAGCTCTACAATCTCTATTAGCCTCTCCACTCCGCAGTAAGCTGAACTGCATCCTCCTTTGGTATCGTGGCGATGCCGGCGGAGAGCTGGCCGGTCGCCCGGGATGGCTTTCGGGACTTCGGGCTTAGGGGTTTTGGAGTTCAGATTTAGGGCCTTAGGGGTTCAAGGCTCCGGTTTTCAGGCTTTAGGCGTGAGGGTTGAAAGGTCAAAACGTTTAGGGCTTCGGGGTTGTGGTTTAGCTCTTAGAGTTCAGGGCTTATTCGGGTTTTGCATCCCATGCTATCGCGCCTGACCACCAAGCTCGCGCCCCTGAACCCTGACGCAACAAACTGCGTTTACGCAGCAAACAAGGCTTGGCTTCCTGAACCCGGATGAAGTCCCTGAACACCACACTAGCTGAGGATCTGCAAGCCTCCAAACCAAGGAAGCAAACTGGGATCTTGTGGAGGAGTATAGTTTAAGTTGTCATAGTTAACAAGGAAATCAATTTAGTTACTATAGGTCCCTATTATGGTAACTTAACTAACTTCCGCAACAAGAACCCAGAAAAGCAACCCAACCGAGGGCTGCCCCGTCACGGCGCTCAACTTCCACGAGGACACAGAGATGGTCCTGCTCGGCGATGCAGCGCGACGCCCCAGTGCCGGGAAGCGGGAAGGGTCGGCGAGGATCGGGCTTATCTTCGTTTTTCTCCGCTTTGTGGCTTGAGACTTGACTCAAGCCCGGAAAGATGAACGTTCAAACGCAAGCAGAAACCCTGAAGCGGCGTTTGCTTGGAGCTTTGGTTTTGCGGGATTTTACGAAGGTCATGGTCGTTCAGACTGCTGAGGGTTTGTTTAGAACTGAGAGTTTGCAGGGTGCAGCGGTTCAGGGTTAGAGTTCGGGATTTAGTTTGGTTCGGTTGGGGTGTGAGTTTGATGTGCCTTTCCGGCCCAAACCACGAAACTCTAGGGTTCAGGTGAACCCGTAAGCTTCAAAACAAATTCAGGCCTAAACACCTCCAAACCCGGAAGCCTTAGATCCTAAAGCCGACAACCTTAACCCCAAAAACCCCAACCCCTCGCCTTAGCCCCTAGACCAGTTCTTATAAGGGCTTGGTGTTGTTGCCTAAGCATTGTATGACGATATTGTGGGCTCAAGGGTTTAAGGTTCCTTTAAGGTTCCTGCCACAGTTTTAATGTATTGCTCAGGGGCACCAGGAACTCTGTACTACACAGGCCTTTTGCCTTCAACGAAGTCTGAAATTGGGAACTAGAGCCTGCCGCTCACACAACCTGACACAACCATTGCAAGACCCCATAAAGTAACACCTTTTAAACACGGCACCTCAACAACCCTCAACCCTGGCCCCCGCCCTTCGTGGGCCATCCCGGGGCCGCAAAAAGCTCCGAGGGCTGCCGGGTGCAGCTCCAGAACATCCGCGAGCACGTGACCTCGGCTGCGGAGCCGCCCTGCTTTTGATAAAGAGCTTCTTCTAAGCATGTCTCTATGATGGGTATCTGTGAAGGGTTCTAGAAGGCTTCCCCAAAGATTTCGACAAAGGTCCCATGGGGGTTTTGCAAGGGTCTGTGGGTTCTGTAAGGCATCACACATGAATCCCTCGAGACCAGAACCCTACATCGCCAACTCGCCTCAACAAAAATGCCCTAAACCTAAATCGAGTTTCTGACTAACTAACCACTAAGCGCGTTTCTTGCATCCCACATACCCTTGCTTGGAGTATAAACTCCTCTAAACACCTCAGATCCCCTAGGGTTTGAAATCCGTAGCGCCCGCAAAAACCCGAAAACAACCCTGAACCTTCAACCGTAAACCCACAAGCATCCGAAAGCCTTGTGAACCAACAACTCCCGCACGCAAGTCAGAGAGGGCAACGCCCTAAACCCTAAATCTTAAACTGAACGAGCTGGTGCCTCGATATCTGAGCGAGCCTGGGCCCAGTCGTGCTGCTTCACTCACTTGTGGGTCAAGCTCTGCCGATCAGGTCCGGAAGGCCCTGCCAACATGGACGAAAAAGGGCCCTAACTCCCCAGCCGTGGACCGTAAATCCTAAACCCTAACTTCTAAGCCCTAATCCTTAACCCTAAAACCCCTAAACCCTAAACCCGAAACCCTAAACCCTGAACCCTAACTTCTAAGCCCCAATCCTGAACCCACCCAAAACCTTCCGGCCGTAGCCAGGCCGAGCTTATGCAGCCGGGCCTGGCGAAGCGCGTCACCGGGCCGGAGGTCAAGTTTTGGAGCTTTTCTCTAAGAGCACTAGTTTGTATCCTAATCCTCTTATTCCACGACGACTACTACTACTGCTACTACTACTACTACTACTACTACTTCTACTACTACTACTACTACTACTAGAAGAAGAAGACTCAGGGAATGATAGCAATTGAAATGCAATTCCTTGTTTCTTGGTTGTGTTGGGTGCTGTCTTGAGAAAGCCGCCGGGTTCGAGGGGTTTGGTAGGGTCGGACTTTTGTGCTTCAGCATAGTTTTTTTTTGGTTTTGTGGTTTGCAGGGCCTGCTTCGTGCATTTGGAGGAGTGCATGAAAGGTTGAATGGTTGATGGAAGAACTCTCCAGACATGCGCCAACTTGGCCGCTTATTGCCCGCAATGCACAGCACCCTCCTCATATGTCGACTTTGCTGCAGCTTCCCTTGCAACACAACGAATTGCTTCACCGCTGCCATCCTAGGATGGGAGTCAAAGAGTAATCTTTTCATCTTGGATAGAGCTCGATGATCCAACCCGAGGATTTAAACCATGTAGCTGCACCCATCATCTTAACACCTCGATCCCCAATGTGCAGGAGAACCTGAGCGGAACAGGCAGCACAGTGCAGGCTTCATACGGGCTTTCAAGTTGCCCCCGGCGGGGATGTTTAACGGTTTGATTGGTTTTTATACAGAGGTTTCGGGTTGTAGTTTTTGTTTCAAGGCCGTGTGGACATAGTTGTACCAGCGGATGATGCTGCAGGACTCAAGAATTACGATGCGGCTATTGCTGCTGCTGTGAAGCGTTCTGCTCGTGTGTCAACGGCGGGGGTTGCTGCTGCTGCTGCTGCCGTTCCCCATCGTCCTGTTCCTCCTGCAACAACGGTAGCGACAGTTGCTCTTAGTCCTGCTCTTGCTCCTTCTCCTACTCCGACTGCCAATACTGCTCTACTACTACTACTACTACTACTACTACTACTACTACTACTGCTGCCAGTGCCACTGCTACTGCTACTGCTACTACTGCGACGACGGCGACTACGACGACGACGACTACTACTACGACGACGACGACGACTACTACTACTACTACCACTGCTGTTGCTACTGCTACGAGTACTAGTACTAGCACTAGTACTAGTACTACTACTACTACTACTACTACTACTGCTACTACTGCTACTGCTACTACTGCTACTACTGCTACTACTCCTCCTGCTGCTGCTGCTGCTACTACTACCGCTACCACTACCACTACTACTACTACTACTCCTCCTCCTCCTCCTCCTCCTGCTGCTGCTGCTGCTGCTACCGCTACTACTACTACTACTACTACTGCTACTACTACTACTACTACTACTACTACTACTACTACTACTACTACTACTACTACTACTACTACTACTACTACTACTACTACTACTACTACTACTACTACTACCTACCACTACTACTACTGGAGCTGAAAGAACAACCACTACTGCGTGTACGGGTACTACTTCAATCCTACTGCCGCTACTGTACTACATACATACAATTACTGCTACTGCCGCTTTATTCAAGCTCCTCTTACTGACTGTGCAAGACCCTGCAGCCAGTCCTTGCTGCCACTACGTTCTTTTTTCCCCTCTGCGTCTCTTTCACGATCTCAGCACCTAATTGTCGCTTCTCTTCTTCTTGTTGTTATTCTTCTTCTTGGAGCCGTTATGGCCTGAACTTCACTGCTTTGTTGTTGGTGGTTGTTGCTTTTGTTTGGCTATTGTAAACTCGGATTCCCGTAAACCTGTTCATTCTTGACTAAAGATGGCAAAATCGAACAGCCAGGGCATCACCGAGCCCTCCCCGTCGCACAGCGATGGCAAGGATGCCAAGCACACCCACCGGGTACAGCAGGGGTTTCTTCACACCAGCCTCCCACCCACATAGTTGGTGTTGTTCTCGCTTCTTGGGGCAGTACAGTTCTGCTAGTCTGAGCGCTGTTGCTATACTAGCCTTGGCGATGGCATCCAAGCACTTCATGTTTCAAGCATCTGTTGTGCCAGTAGTGTTAATGTTAATATAAGGGGCTCGAATAATTACCTATACTTCTTGGGGTTCCTTATTATAAATAGAGTATAATCTACCCCCGAACCCTATTCTAATTATTATTGAGGCCCCTATATTATTCATATGGTGACTCAAAGGCTCGTTTGATTTTGGGCAAACCCCTCTGGACCGTACAGTGCCCTGAACGTAGGACCCTCAACCTTGAGTCCTAAACGGTCTAGAAACCTTGTAAAATCTGCATTAATGAAACCAAACGATTGAATCTTGCAAGGCCTGGTAGAATTGAACTAGCCTTGTTGGGGTTCTGGAGAATTTCCGGATCAAGCGTAGACACTCTCAACCCTATCGAAACCCTGTAGACTCTCGTGGAAGGCCTTAAGCGGAAGGCCGAAACTCCGTCCAAATCGACTCGCCGAGGCCCTCCCTTGCCGCCTCCGGCGGATTCCCCCCCGGAGGTGAGAGAGAGAGAGAGAGAGAGGGGGGCGTTAGACTTCAGGGACTCGGGGGGCGGGGGGGGGTTTAGGGTTGGAGGATTGAGCTGTTCTTGTGTTTTTTGGGCTTGAGGGGTCGGTCGGCGTTCGGGGGTTTGGGGTGTGGGCTTCACGCTTTTGGGGCTCAAGGGGTGTAGACGTAAGAGCATGAGGGTTCCAGCGTTCTAGCGTTTCTGTGCTTCAGAGTCAAAGCTGGCGGTTCAGGGCTTCGGGTGCGGGAACTCCTAAGGGGCTGGAGCCTGGTTGTAGTATCAGCAAAACGCGATGTACTTAGCATTAGGTATGATATAGAAGCCTACATAATTGCCACTACTATTGCTTAGGGTTCGTGACAATAACTATACTCAAAATTACACCAAAACCTTATCTTACTGATGAAGGTCGATATAGTATCTGTAAACACAATCGCAGCAAGGATGTCGGTCGCTGCAAGCTCAAGACGAGTGCAGTCGTGTTTAGGCCCTCACGACCGAGATCCCAAAATTTCGATTTCGGATGAGAGGGCTTCTAGGTTTCAGCATGCCGCTCGTCAGGATGAACTTGCAGCTCCAGGACTTGGATTTGGGTTCTTTCGAGGTTATTTCATGTTTATCCAATCCGGAGCCTTTCTCAGAAGTGGACATGCAGCCTCGAAGTAAAGGCCTACACAGGCTTTAAGGCCTTCGAAGTTCGTTTCAATGACGTGCCAAAGGAGAAGTGCCCGACCTCCAAGACCCCAAACCCTGAAGCCCAAAATCTAAAGTCTATCCCCCCCCCGACCCCAAGAACCCAAGCTCTAGAACCCGAAAGCCCTAGCTCCGCACCCCAAAACCCAACTTACTCCAAACACTTAAACTCCACACCCAAAGCGCTAAACCCCACAGCCTAGAGCCCTAAGGGTTAGTCAATTTTACAGGCCCTGGGCCACTCAATGAGTACCAAATGGCCTGGGGTTTTACGGTTTGGGGTTCTCGGTTTACCGAGTGCTTGGATTTTTCAGCGGAATTTTAGCATAGCTGTCTAAAGGGTCTCATACGGGCGATACGGTTCAGCGTATTAGGGCTTCAGAGTTTCAGTGGTGGGGGTTTTGGGTTGAGGGGTTTACCTTGATCGTTGGCCTCCATGCCTCCGCAAAACCCCCCCCGAACCCTTCACTTGAAACTCCCTTGTAGCATCACCCAAGCCCATTACACCACAGCCGCAGACCCTAAAACCCTAAACCCCTAAAACCTAAACCCCATAAAGCCTTAAACGCCGAAGCCTAATCTCTCCACGCTATTTAATCCAAAAACAAAGACACGTTAAATCTTGAAACATTACCCACGATCCCGCAAGGTCAGTCCGGCCTCTGCCGGCTCTGCGCCGGAGCGGACGGAGGCCAAGACAGAGGAGCCGGGTTTGTTTGGGGCTTGGGGTTTAGGGTTTAGGGCCTTGCATTGGGATTCAAGTTTCTTGCTTTAGAAGTCGTCATGGTCGGTCGTCGGGTGTCGCAGAAAGGAGCCCGACTAAGACAGCTACGGTTGCTACTCTGGACGACCATGTAGGTACGCTGTTATTGAACCGGGCAGTTTTCAGAATCAGTTTCCCTTATCAGTAGAAGCAGCAGCAGGTGGTGGCGGTGGTCGTCGTCGTCGTCCTCGGCGTAGTAGAAGTTGTGGTAGTGGTAAAAGTAGCAGTAGCAGAAGCAGAAGCAGAAGAAGAAGAAGGAGTAGTGGTATTAGTAGTAGTAGTAGTAGTAGTAGTAGTAGTAGTAGTAGTAGTAGTAGTAGTAGTAGTAGTAGTAGTAGTAGTAGTAGTGGTAGTAGTAGTAGTAGTAGTAGTAGTAGTAGTAGTAGTAGTAGTAGTAGTAGTAGTAGTAGTAGTAGTAGTAGTAGTAGTTTCACACCATGTGAGTGCACCGCGGCAATCGCCCGCTATGTGCTGAGCCCGCTCGCACAGCGTTCAGTAGTAGTAGTAGTAGTAGTAGTAGTAGTAGTAGTAGTAGTAGTAGTAGTAGTAGTAGTAGTAGTAGTAGTAGTAGTAGTAGTAGTAGTAGTAGTAGTAGTAGTAGTAGTAGTAGTAGTAGCAGTAGCAGTAGCAGTAGCAGTAGTAGCAGTGGTAGCTTGTAGTGGTAGTGGTAATGCTAGTGCTAGTGGTAGTGGTAGCGGTAGCGGTAGTGGTAGTAGTCGTAGTGGTAGTGGCACTGGTCGTGGTGGTGGTGGTGGTGGTGGTGGTGGTTGTGGTGGTAGTGGTAGAGGTAGTGGTAGTGGCAGTGGCAGCGGCAGCCGAAGCAGCAGCAAGAGCAGCAGCGGAAAAAAAAGAAGCAGCAGCATCAGCAGCAATCGTGATGATGATGATGATCATGTGTTCGTTGAGGTGTTGGCTTAGGGAGCACGGGGGCCAAGCCGCTGGAGCTGTCACACCCCCAGAAACGCACTGCACTTCACTTTAATTTTGGAGAATTAAAAAACAGAACCTGTGGTGTTGTAACTTAAGGTGTGCTGCTTAATCAATCAAGGGGTATGGGACTCTCTGGGACGCCGACCTCGTGAGGAGCCTCAGACGCGGGACGGCTACCCTGGAGAAACCACCAGCTCCGCCGCTTTTCCGGTGCCCGGGTTCTGCAAGAAACTTATAGATGTTATAGATCCCTTCTAGTAGCCCCTACAGACCTCTTTAAAATGAGACCAAAGAGCCCCAAAGATCGGAGACCCTTAACCCCTATACGCCCTAAACCACCCGAAATCCCAGAGGGCTCTCGGTGAACCCGAGAATCCAAACTCCAGCTGGCTTTGAAGGTTTTCAATGGCGACTCCTGATCCGTGAAGCCCATTTCGGAATCCGCGAACACCTCATTTCCGAATTACGTGCCGAAACTGGAGAGCGTAGGGAAAGCAGATTGGACGGGAGTGTCGGGTTGGGGGTCTAGTGAATGGCAGGTAAAACTCAATTACGGTTTATGCAACGAGTCTAGGGCACTCAGCGATTCTCGCGTTAGGGTATAGGGGTTTGGCGCGCGTCTGGGGTCTGGAGGGTCTGCCATTTCAGGCATCAGGTTTTCTTGTTTGAGGCCGTTTGGGGTACAGGCGGCGTAGGTCTTCTGTGCTTTGATGAATGCAAGTTTCTGTGAACTGGCGCAATCGTGTCAGCCAGGTTGAGTCTATGAAAACATTTTCACCATGATCCTAGGCACTGTAGCAAAGCATGGGTTCCTATTACATTCGAGATGTTGAGACATGCCAGTGGCATGGCTTGCACCAATTTTTTGAACAGTCGAAGTAATATTGAAAGCGTAAACCCTTAACCCACAAGCACACTCAAGAAAACAACCCACAACTGTACGGCCACTAGCCACATACCCATGACAGCACAACAGCAGGTAAGAGCCCAGCAGTCATGCCGCCATCATTTGCACGTTGCTGGCGGCCGCAGTGGAGACGCATCCCCCAGATCTTCAACCCTAAACCCTAATCCACAAATCCCAAGCTCTAAACCCCAAGCCGATCCCGCAATCCCTGAATCCTCTCCGGGTAACAGACATGGTGACGGGAGCATGTTCATGTTGGTATAGATAATGACGGCTGAGTCTTGCTGTATACTCCGGATTTCAGAAATGCAGTGTCCATATGTAGACGGACCCCAAGGCACAAAGCCTCAATCCTGAATCCTGAGCTTGGTCCGCGGGTTCTGAGTTTCAAGGGCTGGTCGTCACATCTCGGGCGCAAGTATGCTGCCCGGAGTCTAGACGTAGTGTTTAGGATGAAGTCTCACCTCTGTCCATTAGGGCGTATATCGGGCATGTCTCGAGCGTGCAGGCAGGCCTTCTGCCAGCAGGCTGCAGATTCAAAGTTGAAGTCTGCCTGTCGAGAAGGGTTCTCCATTTTGAGACATGCCCGCTTGTTGTGCTTCGGCAAGGAAACAGACTGGGCTATGGGGTGTCGATAGTTTAGATTTAGATTGTGTCTTTGGCGGGCGAGCTCCAGTTGCGAAGCATCGCGCTAATTTCATGGGGATGCTTCTCGTTGATGGCTTTTCTGACTTTCTCAGGGAGTTTCTCAGGGGGAGAGGGTGCCGCTGTAGTCTCATTGATATCCCGTGTGTGCCAAAGTAGACAGCAGGGCAGGAGATGACCACAAAATACCAAGGCCTACACCCTAACTTCTCAACCCTCACGCCTAGAGACTAAAGCCTAAACCGTTATCCAGGTTCCAAGGCGCTGATTCCGCAATGTCGCAGCCACGAGCACTCAAAGAGAAGACTCGGGTCTCAGCCGTCGGGAGATTAATTCGGGTTTAGGACTTGGGGTTCAGAGTTTAGCTATTGGAGAAGGCTCCTTCCGACTGGGTTCCCTGACAAGACTCGGTAACCCGAAAGGATTCCCAGCGGGATTCCCCGACACTTGTTCGGCAGGCACCGATGGGATTTGTGGAATGGGGCACTTCTGCACTTCTTTAACATCCCAAAGCCAGAAATCCGAAACGTTTAGCTCCAAACCCCAAACCCTCGGCTCCAGCTCTCAAACCTAAACCCTGGCTTTCAGCTTCTGCCCTAAGCTGGGGGGGGCTCCCCAACCACTCCGAAGCCGCAGCCCAGAGTGTCTCCGATGGAGTCTGCGAGAGGGAGACTGGAGGCGCCGGCGGTGCAAGGTTCGGGCTTGCGGGTTTGGGGTTCATATAGGGGTTTGGGTAATTACCACTAATTACTGTTGTGGGGGTTCCTTAATTTTTTTAGAGTATAATGGGCCCTTTCGGGGTTCAGGGTTATGGGGTCTTTGCATGTTTTCTTGGGGCTTTGGGTTCCTACGAAGTTTTGGCATACCAATCCCAACAACATTCTAAGCCGAAGCGATATCCCAAGTCTTATCTCCCAGATCGTGAACCATAGGATTTTCGGATGTGGAGTCGTCGTAAAGTCTCGCGGTTTTGCTGGACGGCTTGGTAGCCTAACGACCCAACGTTTGTGGGATTTTTGAGAAAAACCGCGAGACTAGCGTACCCCAAGCCAAGGTTCTCATTTTCCATGACCTCTGGGCTTGCCGGCTGAGTAGTTAGGGTAAGCTGAGGTTCTTAACTGCGTTCTTATCTAGACGCAGCGTGTACGTTGAGCCAAAATAGCCGCGCTATCAACTCTTACCTGCCCTGCTAGTGTACACTGAAATTCGTTGTTGCCTTTCACCCCTGCCCCCAACCCCACCCCCACCCACCCTGAACCCGAAACGCTAGAGCCCCAGCGCCTTGAAATGAAACCCCAGAAAGGGTCAGAGGTGCCATCAAGCCTGTTTAAACTCTCCCTCCCCCCAAATCCTGAATCCGGAGCTCCCGGCCGGAACTCCAACGGAGACACCTTGAGACCCGGGCTCCGGTTTTCTTGGGTTACCTGAACCAGGCCCTCCGACACTCCCCATTATTATTTTTGAACACTCGGCTTCTAGAGCGATAGTCTGGTAGGGGCCTTATTAGTTTTTAACAGGCCTGAGGGCTGATATTCGCGGTATATCCTGATAGGGGTTGCTAGGGAATAAGATTACAAGCAATTCAGATCCGTATGTTCTTGGAGTCGAGGAGCTAGGAAGCCAAATGAGTAGTTCTCTCAAGTCCGGTACCTTTCTAGAAACCCCCAAAAAGGCGGCACCCTTATAAAACGGACCCTAACTTGTAGAACTACCCGAAATCCTTTGAACCCGCGGCGGAGGAAGTCGTCTTCGAGACGCCGGACCCACCGCAGCGAGTCGCTTGACTCGGATACTGGTCTGGTTTGGGATTGAAGGCCCTGGGCCTAGGGCTTTATGTTCCGGGTTTGGGGTTTTAGGGTTTTCGGGTTTAGTGTTTTGGGGGCTTTGGTTTCAGTTTCGGGTTTAGGGCTTTATGCTGTTTCATGGCTTCTTGGCTTAGGGTGTTCCAAAGCTGCATGGCCCCTGCGGTAGCGAAGTTACTCGATTCTCTGCCTTGATGCTAGAGTTTATGGCTTTAGGTTACACCGTTTATGGTTTCGGGCATCGTCATCATCCTCATGCGACGGTTTTGCATGGGTTTTCCGGCTTGAGATTTCTGGGTTTTAGGGTTTAGGATTCTTCTTCTCGGCGCCTCTTGGAGCCCATGGCTCCAAGAGGCGCCACGTCCAGATACCCAAAGGGGGAAAAGGAGGGACCCTAAAAATGGGGACCCCTACCTCATAATGGGCTATATAATGGGTATATAATAAGGGTCCCTCCTTTTACCCTTGGAGATACCCTCAACACAACACCTGCAATCCCAAGCAAGATGCCATCGCCAGGTCTAAACCCCGAAGCCACCAAAGCTCTACAGCCCTCGACCAAAAAGCCATAGGAACTCTAAGATTTATCTGAAGAGCTCCTCCAAACCGGAATCCCAAAAAGATTTGGATTCAGAGAGAGCCGCTAAGGCAGCTCTGCCCAGTTCGTCCTCGAAGGCTCCGCGCGTCGCTGCGTTTTTTTAATTTCTTCTCAAGGTTTCAGATTCCTTTTGGGTTTTGGGTTTTGGCTCGAGGGTTTGTGCGCTTTGGCTGCTGGGGTTTTCCTGTGCTTCATCTGCAAAAGGAGCCCTAGTTCATAGGAGCCTTCTTACAAAGGCTTTTGAGTGAGGTGCCCCAGGTTTCTGAAACCCTCAGAACCTAAAAAATCCTAAACCCAAAATCTTGGACGCAAGCCCCAAACCCGAAACTTCAAAACCCCTAAAGCTTCAACCCTACCTAAACCCTCAAGCCAACTCCTTGACCCAGCCACCTCGGCTAAGTTCGGCCCCCCCGCCACCCGACTTCCAACTCGTCAGGCTGTTTTGTAAGGGGCACTTTGCGGGATCGAAAGCGGTTTATGGTGGGGCCTGATAGGGCCCTCGAAATTCAGGATAGGGTTTCGGTGCGTATTACAGTGTAGTCATGGGGATTTTGACAGAATCCTATGACCCTATGATGAGTCATTCAGACCTCTATATTACAGGCTTACTTGGCGAACCAGAAGCAGGTCCATGTCGTGCCTCGCGAGCCACATGAACATGTGTACATGTGTATGTTCCTATTCATAGGTGTCTAATCCATGCTTGTCCTACATACCTATGTATCTGTCTGCCTATCTGTCCACCTTCTTTCTATCCATCTATCCGTCTACCCAGGCTTGTATCCGCGCTAGCTTCAGAAAACGAGGGCTCAGATATTTGGGTCCGGGGTGCCTAAACGACTCATCACAATTATAGTATAATGGGCCCCAGAACCCTATTCTAATCATTAAATCATTAGGGCCTTATACTTTTAGAGCCCTACTATACATCCCCTCTAGAGCGTTTGAAAGGGAAGGAACCCTACTCTAATTATTCAGGCTCGCTATATTACACGGAAGCAGTAGTTCATAGGACCCTTCTTAATTATAGTATAATGCCCTATTCTAATTATCAGGGCCCCTATATTAAAGAACCCTAGTATTCATCCCTTGTAAAGCTCTTGAAAAGGAACCCTGTTCTAATTATTAAGGCCCCTATGTTTTAGAAGCTGCCCCCACCCTGAAATAGTGACTGTAAGGATTATATTAGGGCCCTATTATATTCCTATTATACCATGATTACAGGGTGGGGGCAGTTTCTAACCTATGTTACACGAAAGCAGTAGCAGATGCATCAAAGCAGGTCGCTCTTCCCGGATCGCCGACCAAGGCGACCTCCTGGGCTCCGGGTTTGCTGGGACCTTGAGGGTGTCGGAGGGTTTTAGGGTTTAGGGGTTTAGGGTTTAGGGGTTTTAGGGTTTAGGGTTTTAGGGTTTAGGGGTTTAGGGTTTAGGGTTGAGGGTTCGGATTTAGGGTCTAGGACTTCAG